TGGTCAAAGTGTTACACTAATGGACCCAATGGACCACCAATAGACCATCAATGGACTGCACATTTGCCAACCCTGGACTAAAGAACCATCTGTAGTGTAACCATTTGTGCCTATTTCACAAGCTACAAATGTTAAGCCACAGTATTTTGTCATTAAATCTCTGAACACTTTCGCACACTCACATTGTTGTTATAAAAATATGACATTTTTTTGCTTAACGTTACAATAAAATCAACATCAGATGAAGTAGGAGTGGTATTCTTACAATCATCTACGAACTGACCAAATGTTGGATGAAGAAGAGTAACTGGTGTTGATGAAGCTTCTGGAGGATGATGACATAATATCGGATAATTATATTTTTGTTGAAATTTTTTGAAAGTCTTGAAATCCGCATAGTTTGAAGGGCACAACTAGGGTTTTATTCATGAATATCATTAAGGGAGTTACATACTATTAAAACAGCAAAAAATCCCTTAAAAACATGAGTTGATCACTTGATTTTAATAGTGTGTGACACTGTGTGACCCCTTATGATATTCATGAATACAAACCCTAGGCACAACAGATCTGAAAATGATTTTTGGAGAAAAATTTTTTTTTTCTCTGGAAAATCTTCAATATCATCATCATCATCATCATCCTTTTTTTTGGTTACTTTAGTACCTAAAAGGGATAGAAGAATAATTAGCATAGAATGCATAAAATATATAGTGAGTAAAAAATATCAACAACTGAATTAATAAAGGAATAAGAAATGCAGAAAGAAAAGAAGCATGAAGAATAGTTCCCAAAATGAATAGTAATTAATAGATAATAAAAGAAAGGCGATTCAAAAAAGAATTGAGATTCAAAGTATTGAAAGAGAAAAGCACAGATCGGTTAAAGCTGCAAACAGTATACCAAACATTTCTCAAATGGGAATGAAATGGAATGAATGGAAAATAATTTTTGTATATTTATCAGATTCCAATGTATGACTCAAGATTTGCATTTGAGATCTTTACCTGCATCTTTCTCCAAAATTTTTTTTTTTTTTTTAGCAACGCTACTTCCAATTCCAATTCTTTGGCCTGTTTTTTCCAATTCTAAAGAGAATGATTGTTTGTGCTTAAAAAATTATTTTTGTAATGAATAAATATTAATCATCATTGAACACCAAGTATCAATTTATTGAATAAATAATATGATTATACCTTTTCTTCTCTGATGTTCTCATCATTGTTTTCTTGGAGTGGTTCAGGTTTTAAACTACCAGGTTTGTTGTTATTAAAATACAAATTTTAAGATACAAATTAGAGTACGATAACCACCATTCTTTTAAAATAATTAGTATTAGATTGATGATGAGTGACAGGCGATAACCACCGCCATCCTTAAAACATTTACCCTCTTTCATGTATTTCAATCTCTTGATTTCTTTTTTTTAGTTGCATTTTTTTCATCATTTTTAAATTTTTAAAAAGAAGAAAAAAGTTTGTTATTTGATCGACACATATGGTGCAAGTCATCTATATAGTCCTGCAACTTACTGCGCCTCATGACCAATTTTGGGAAAATCATCAAATCTCAGAATTGTCTATTTACATGTTTTGTAGTAATTTATTAGACTATTCAATCAATGCACCATTTGGCTACGAAATAGTCTATTTTATGAAAAATTACATCATTGTGCTAAATTTAGAAATGATTGTTGCGGGCTAGTCTAAATTTAGTAACGATCTTAGCGGCATTTCATCGTGAACATTGTAATTAGAGGATCTGCATAATAAAAGTTGGGGCAATTTTGATATTAAATATTTTAGTTCACTATTTTCAAAATTAAAAAATGAAAAAAAATGGAAATTTTTTTTTACAAATTTATGTTTAAACCTCAAAGTTTACAAATATGAAAAAATTTTAAACATTAATAAGAAAATAAAAAATTTTTGTATGGATGACAGCTTCCCCTGGGTATTTTTTTTCTATAACAATTAAAATAAAAATTTTTTTTTTTTTTGTAACTAACTATATAGTAAAAATTACATTTATTTATAATAATTATAATTGTTCAAAGCACAATATTAAAGTTACAAAAAAAGATATTATTATTAAAGAAACATCATTAGTTATGTTAGAAAGTCATCTCAAAATACTTAATTCAAAACAATATTAAATTATATTTTCTTGGATAATATTTAAAATGTTAAAAGAAAGGAAAATATTATTATTATATACAGAAAGGTTCTTTTTACGGAATATACAGAACCCTACAAATTAGTATAAGATTTTCAATGATTTTCAATGGTGATAATTTTCAAAAATCACTTATGTTCCTGTGATGGTTTAGCAACATGCGTTATTTAAACATTAAATAGAAATAAAAATTACTTAAATAATTGTCAACATTTCCATTAAAGTATTTTTGTACTAATTGATCCCACGAGTTATCAAATGAAATAATTGAAATGGAATCTAAAAGATTCTTAAAATCTTTAATAAATTTATTATATTTTTTTTTTAATTTGAGCTTTACATTCCTGTTGAGATTTTGATAAATATGATATAGACACAAAAAGTGATGTGTGTTTGAAATTGTTGTTCTATGGCTGATTCCATTGCTAAGTTGTGGTCACTCATAATGACCTTTGGTGAATTGGAAACTGCTGATTTTAGACATTTGAAAAACCAGTTGAAATTTTCTAAACTTTCATTATCTAATAATGATTGACATAAAATTATTGACTATCCTTCATTATTTACACCAAGTACAAAACATAAAATCATATTAAACTTGTTTGTTTTGTATGTGGTATCAATGATTACTATATCATTGTATTTATACCAGTTTTTCAATTGGACAGGATTCATCCAAAAAATTCGATTTAGTCTTCTGGTGTCATTATCCACATAGAACTCAACAAACCATTCTGATTTATATTTTTCCTATCTGTCAACATCTTGTATAATTCTGCTGCATCATCTTTTTACAGATTGGATAAAATTATTCAATTTTATATTATTTATTTTTATTTCTGGATATTTGTTTTCTAGAATACCTCTTATTTGAGGCAAACCAAGTTTTTGGCCAACATAAAGTTCAATTTCATCCCAAATTTCTTTATCCACCGACTTGTATGAATAATATTCGATTTCATTTTGAGTAATTTGGTGATTATGTGTATTTTCAATTTTAGTTATATGGATTCCTTGAGTTTTTGAATTTCTGATATTTACTTTCCACAGACAACCTTTTCTTTTTGATTGTTTATCATGTTGCTTTAAAGGATCAAGATTTTTTCTATTGCCTCTTTGTTTTCCAGAATGATTGCACCTGAGGTAAACATCATATTCTCTTGAGGATTCAATGCTTGCGCTGAATCCTTGTTCATATGCATATTTTTAACATCTGCTATTACATTATTCAATGAATCCCAACATTTTGACAAAGATAATTCTATTACACCAATTCTTTCAGAAATATTTTGATTTGTTTCAAACCAGCCATTATCCATTGACATATGTTCATAACCATCAACTTCCATTGAATAATCATCAATTTTTATGGTTTCACATTCATCTATTTTTTCACATTCATCAATTTCTATTTTTTCACACTCATCAATTTCTATTGTTTTGCATTCATCATTAATCTCTGTTGAATATGATTGCAATGATGGAAATTTACTTTTAATTAAAGCTCCAATATTTGATGGGAAATCAAATCCTTCTAAATCATAATTTAGAATTAGACTCAAGTATCTAAGTCTAAAATAAGTGGATATTTTCTATCCCATGATTTATTACTTATTCCAATTTCTTCTTCAATATAATTTAAGATCGTTATTCCACAATCTAAAGTTCCACATTGATAAGGAATTTCACCAATATAATAAACTTCATCTTCAAAAGAGATTCCATAAAATTCAAATAATCTGTTAATATTGGTTATTAAATCAATTGGAGCTTGATAATATAAAGAATCACCAAAATAAATTTTCTTGGTATCTAAATCTAGTTTTACAACTCCCCAATTATTATTATTTATGTGTATAATTATACAGATATTTTTAATTTTTTCTGATAAATGACCTAATAAATTATATGCAATATCAAATTTTCCATCGCTTAATACAAGTGTATAAATATATTGGAGCCAAAATAAAATTATTATTTTTGTTGTCATCATCTTTGAATGCTTTATATATCCTAAGTACTGATTCAATAACCATATCATTTACATAATTCTGATTTGCCAAGGTACATAAATCTAAAATAGTTACATTTAAATTCTTTCTTAAATTATTATATAATCTATTAGTATTTAATAATTTTTCTTTCAATTTGTTTGACCTCTTCAATTTACTATCAACCCAATTGATTAAATTTATGAAATTAGTTTGAAACAACATTGCTGTATGCAAGTTTATTATTTTGTTTAAATCACAGAATTTGGCTATTCCAAAAGAAGGTATTTTAATAAACATTTGATTTCTTTTTTGTTCTTTTTTTTCATCTTTTCCAATGTAGTCATTTATTTGATCAATTATTTTTCTAATGTATCCCAAAGGTGGAATTGCCAAGTCATTTTTAACTATCTCCTTTATTGTCAATTCTTTCCCAGGATCGTTTTCAAAAATTTTAAACTTCATGGATGATGGAACAAGTCTTATTTTTGGGAAATTTATTTTAATGAATTTTTTCACATAAATAGAATTTGCTATTACTACTACTTTTTACTAATATTATTATTATATTTAGGTTTGAAAATTATTATGAAAATTGTTATAATTTAATTAATTGTCAACTAATGTAATTCTTTCGTCATCTTCTCTTCAATGATAATTGCATTCTTGAAAGAAACAATTTGATTTTCAATATTCATATTGAAAAAGAATATATAAATATATAAAAAAGGTGAAATTTTAACTAAAATAAAAAATGATTTTTTAATATAGAATTAATTCTGATTGAATATTTTGATAGAAGAGAAAGAAAAAAAGATAATTTTTAAATAAAGAATTGATGTTTTTGATAGAAAAGAAGAAAAAATTGATTTCTAAATAGAGAATTCCGATTGAAGAAAAAAGATGATTTTTTAATATAGAATTAATTCCGATTGAATATTTTGATAGAAGAGAAAGAAAAAAAGATAATTTTTTAAATAAAGAATTGATGTTTTTGATAGAAAAGAAGAAAAAATTGATTTTTAAATAGAGAATTAATTCCGATTGAATATTTTGATAGAAGAGAAAGAAAAAAAGATAATTTTTAAATAAAGAATTGATGTTTTTGATAGAAAAGAAGAAAACCCAATTTTTAAATTCTAATTGAATATTTTTAATAGAAAAGAGTAAAAAAACTGGTTTTTTAGAATTGATTCTAATTAGATATTTTTGTTAGAAGAGAAGATTATTGTTATAAAAACCAAATTTTCAATTTAATTGAATATTTTTGTTAGAAGGGAAAAAGAAATGATTTATTAAAGTTAATTTTAATTGAATATTTTGTTAGAAAAGAAAACCAATTTTTATAAAAATAAAACGGACCCGGACACTTTACTAAATTAATTTTTTTCATCCTAATTATTGTTATTATTAATATTAACGTTAACCCGTTACAATCCGGTAATCCGTTAACTGCCGGATAAGGTCGTGACACTACACGATTATTTGACGACTTTAGATAATAATTGCATTATAGCCAATATCAATACATTCGTTCAACCAAAAAAATCTAATCACAATGATAATAATATTTCAGACCCTGATAATCAATCAATTAATTTAAATCAGAAAAATCGAAAATTTACAACAGCAACCATCGAAATAACGTTTTTAGATTCTTCATTGTCAAAAATCCACTTGTTAAAGAATTCATTAGTTAAAAAAAATCAACCAAAACTTTTTTTCTTAATTAAAAAAAAATCCTTTGTCCTAGTGTTTATTTATTTATCTCAGATTAAAGGCCAATTTTTTTCAAGACTATCACTATAGAAGAATAATTTACAAATTTCTATTGTTTAAAAAAAATCAATTGAGCTTTTCAAAAAAGATAATCGATGGATTTTACTTGTTTTCTCCGAAAGGAAATTTAGCAATTTTAAAATAAATTTCTTCTTATCCAGATCATCCATCTCATCTCAGGATTGGCAATAATGAGTTTGGTCTGATAAAATACTACATACTAAATATGGTTAAAATATTTCAAATAGTCAAAATCAAAAAAAATTGTATATATTGTTTGTTTATCGATCATTGAATTTACTGATGATAACGACAAAATAAAAAACATTAAAAGATGCTTTTGAATCCCGGTCTCGTGACCAGAAAATATGTTAACACGTTGTATTACAAGTCTTTGACGATCTGAGCCATCAGTTTTGGCCATTTGAACGCGCGAAACTTCAGATCAAAACGAAAACCTAACGGTAGACAACGTAGACACTGCGCAAAAATCATATAAAGCGAAACACAATTTCCTAATATCCGACGTTTGAACAAAAATAGATAAATTTTTGGTTTCACGAAACATGACAAATAGATATCAATGGCGAAATAATTATCATTTTTGGAAAACGAAATATTTCTGTTAAAATTTCAATTTTAACAAATTTCATCCTTCCACAACAATTCAGTTAAGCAACAAAATGTTTAGAAAATTCGTGATTCGTTACCGTAACTGCACTGAATTTACCGTTTCAAATTGAGTAAAATTTAGAAAGGAATAGTAACACGGCAAACGTTCCTTTTATCTATGTTAATAATGGGTTATCCTATATTATTCAAGGATAGCCCGGTAAAAAACTTTACCGGTGCAAACATATTTTCATCTACTGTCAGAGTCACATGTGACAATATTAGGCCTTGGGTCTTATGAGCATTGAGGTATGTACATCGTTAATTCCAAAGCTTTCAGCGGTTTTCAATGTTTATTTTAGTAATGTTTTCATCTTTTGGGAAATGTGAACGAACATTTCTGATCTTCTTCTTGATTCATCTGAGGGTGTTGATGCTGGGGTTGAGGTTGATGATGTTGATAATGATACTGGTTCTTTTTTTTTGATTTTTTGTATTTGATTTGTTGTTTGAATTTTCTCTTTGGAGGTCCTATTTTTTTATTTTCATTTTGTGCAGCAAATTCTCCTGAGACAGAGAAATATTGCTGGTGACTTGGTTGCTTCCTACCATTTTGATGTTGTATATGTACATGGGACCATCTGTTTACTGGTCACGTCAGTAAACGAATTCTATACGTTCTTTTCTCGAAGTAATTTTGTTGGTTTTCTTTTTGTTTAACTGATTCTTTAGAGAAGGAACCGAACAAAGGTGTAACTAGTAGATCACGCATGTCAAGTTCTTTGTTCAAATTTTCAGATCCAAGTTTGTTGTTTCCTATGTGAAGCAAAAAAATACATTGGTTGATATATTGCATAAACAACTATTCTTAAGAAAAGTTCCTTACAAATATCTCAGACCCAACATTCAGAAATCTTCTATGATTGAGTTTTCTTTTATCTCCTGAATCATTATTTCTAAATACCTTGAAATTTGTTAATCATTGTCTATTCTACTGTAAGCAATGCCTGTATAGACCTTCTCTCCGCTTACACTCTCGAATAGATGCCACTTTTGTAAAAAAAAATCAAAAAAAAAAAGATTTTATTTAAGAAAGAGTGTGAACCAATGAAATGTTAATTATATTTGCGGTTAGACAGGACTTTCAAACAAAAAACTTGTTATAAAAGAAAAAAAAAGGAACAATCCATGATTATGATTTTATTTTCTTGTCTGTTTGCAAATCTTTTCTGCCGCCATTATAATAAATAATAAATTGTAATAATGATGACAGATCATCATCACCTTTACTCTCGCTCGCTCTCTCCCTTCTCCCTCTAATTAACAGGTCATACATCAAAAAGGTCGATCAGCATTAGGTTTAATAGGGTCAAATCTATTAGTGGTCAACGATTTATTAGGGAACCAAAAATTTTGTGTTTTTCTTATGTACTCGTTCAAAAAATAAAACCAATACTTGTATATATACAATAGATCTTTTATATTAAAAAATCGTTAAAATATAAAAATCAGTGAATAATTTGTAAAATTTAAATATCAATTGATTTGTAAAATTTAATTTCGTTACAATAGACAGTTTATGATGTTCTTTTTCTAATGTTATTGCAAACCTTATGGTCAATTTATATATTAAACTTAATTTTACTCTGGGTCAAATCATATAACTGAACCTATGAAGTTTGCAGGCAGGTCCTGTCCGACCGCAATAAATTTTATTGGCTAAAATTTATACACGTGGTAAGTGAGACGCTGATAGAATTTAACAAAAAAATATTATTATTATAAAAAAATATTATAAATAAATCATCTAAACTTTCATTCCTTAATCTTTCGTTTATTCTATTATTAGACAAGATGGTACACGAATCTTTAAATTTGTAAGTTTATGAAAATTTAGTTTGAAACAATTTTTTAAAACAAAATCTAATTTTATCATTTCTAGATACGTAACAGATAATTCGTATACCATTGTACCCTATTACTTTGATTCAAAAACTCTTGCTCAAATCTTAGTTATAAATAGAGAAACTGGTGCATTATCACTTAGTAAAGGTTATTTGAAACTGTTTTTACAATTTTCTTTTTAAAAACCTCCATTTGATTTGCATTATTAAATATTATTATTATTATGGGCAAAAAAAAACCAGCTTTAGATCCATCATTATCAACTATAAACGCTGAAGCTTTTACAATTTATGGAATATTTGGATTTATCAGATTAATTTCTGGTAAGTGTAAATTGATCAATATATATTTATATTTACGTCTACATTACATTTATAAATATAATAATAATATTATTTTTAATTTTGAATAGGTGAACATCTTATAGTTATTACTGGTCGTGAACGTATTGGTAGATTAGGGAAACATGATGTTTTTCAAGCAAATCAATTTCGTATTCTACCTTTTACTAGAAACACTTTCCATCTATCAGAATCTCAAGTTCGAGATGAACGAAATTATTTGTCATTAATTGAAAATCACCTTAAATCTGGAACATATTACTTTTCATATACATACGATTTAACTCATAGTATACAAAGGCAATCACAACTAGGTGATTTAGCTACAAAACCAATCTGGCAGAGGGTAATAATAAAACTATTATTATTTATATAGTATTTGAGAAAATCTTTATAATAAAATTTTATATAATATTAGGCAGATGATCGATTTTTTTGGAATCGTTATGTGCAATCAAAACTAATTGATTTTACGATTAAAAATCCTGATCAAGATGTAAGTTCATTTAAATTATCAAATTATTTATATATATATTATAAATAAATAATAATAATTGATTTTAATTGATTTTTAGTTGAGCAAATTTATTTTACCAATTATATTTGGATGTAAGATTTTCCTCTTTTTCTTTTATTTTATAAATATTATTTTTATTAAATTACTTCACCAAAATAATTTTTTTAACTTGTATTTTTTAGTTATTGCAATTTACCCTTCAAGAATAAATAATAGAGACATAGTGTTTTCTCTTATAACTCGTCGAAGTAGATTCCGTGCCGGTATGTAACAACAAGTTTTTCTGTTAATAAAAAGGTGTGTATATATAATTTTTCAATAGAAAAAAATTTTTTTTTTTGTAAAACTAGGAACACGATTTTTTTCACGTGGCATTGATAAATATGGGAATACTTCTAATTACAATGAAACAGAACAAATAGTTTTACTTGATCCAATTAAAGATGGATATAATGTTACAGCCTTTGAAGGAAAAATCTATTTATCTTATGTACAAGTTCGTGGCTCTGTTCCAATTTATTGGGCTCAAATCAATAATTTACGCTATACACCGAAATTACAAATAATGGATTTACCAGATATGGTATATTATATATAAAGAATTATTTAAATATTTATACTAAAAAAATATTATTTATTTTATAATTAATTTTATGGGGGGGTTTTTTTTTGTCTAGGATGAATCTGCACGTAAACATTTTGATGAACAGATCAGATTATATGGAAATCAATTAATAGTTAATCTTGTTAACAAGAAAGGATATGAATATCCAGTTGGTGCAGCATACCAAAAAGTTGTTACTGGTTTAAATAATCCTAGAATAAAATATTATCATTTTGATTTTCATCATGAATGTCGAAATATGAGATGGGATAGGATCCAACTTTTGATTGAAAGCATGGAAGAGGATTTATTACAACAAGGGTTTGTATTAAAGTTATCTTGCGTGAATATAAATGTGTTAATTTCCAAATAATTAATACATGTATATATATATTATCAAGATATTTTCATGGAGAGGAAACAAATTCAACTATATCAGTTTATAAAAATCAAGCATCTGTTATTCGTACCAATTGTATGGATTGTCTTGATCGTACGAATGTTGTTCAATCAACTTTTGCCAAATGGATGCTAACTCAACAATTACGTGAGTTAGGAGTATTGAGTAGTAAACAAAGTATTGATGAGATTAGTGGGTTTATGGATTTATTTAGAAATGGTAAAGTTTTATTTATACACATTATTATTTATACATATTATTATTGTTCTTGATGATGATATATTTATTTAAAAATTAGTTTGGGCTGATAATGCTAATGCTGTCAGTTTACCATATGCTGGAACTGGCGCACAAAAAACTGATTATACTAGGTAATTTAATATATTAATCATTTTTAGTAATATGGTGAATTAATTACTCAAGTATATTTATTATAGAACTGGTAAAAGAACAAAGTCAGGTGCTGCAATAGATTTACAAAATGGAATACTTAGATATATATTGAATAATTTTATGGATGGAACTAAACAAGTAAGAAGGATATATATATATATATATATATATATATATATATATATTTAATATATATACAAATACGTTTAACTATTTATTTTTATTAAAATCAGGATGCATATGATTTGTTTTTGGGTAATTATGAGGTGAAACCTGATTGTTCACCTTTTACCAGTGAAGTAAAATCTATGCAAATAAAATATGTAAGTAAAAAAAATTTTTTTTGATAAAATAAAATAATAAATTTGTTATAAATTATTTAATATTTTTTTTTTTAGGCACCACAAGCACTTTTAGGTTGTTTAATATGCATGTTGTTTTTATTAATAATTCCAAAATATGAAGGTAAAGGAATTAAAGAATTATAAGAATTATGTGTAGCAGATTTTATCTCAATGTTTAATTCATTTTTTTAATTAATTAATATAACATTTTTATTATTTAACTATAGGTTACTATTTGTATATCTTTAGATTTTTTATTTTGTTCAATCTTATTGTTATTGTTGGACTTGTCAGATTTATACTGGATAATGGAGCTGAATTTGTAAATTGGCCAAATCTTGTTCCAATAGAAAATAAATATTATCTAAATAAATTATCATCGTCATCTATTACTAATAAATATTTAAAATCTAGATTAGTTGATACTGAATTTGGTGAAAAAATTGAATTACAAAAAATAGAATAGTATTGTTTTTTCATAATTATTTTAGTTTATTTCTTTTGATAATTTTAATATGTTTTTACACACATTTATATTTATTTTTCTTTTTAGTTAATAAAAGTTGTACTTGACAAAGATATACTTGATAAAAAGAAAATTATATGTATATATGTAATGAATGATAATTGTTTTTTATTATGCCGATCATTTTAATAGTAATTTTGAAAATATATAAAACAAGTATATTACTTCTTTAAAAAAAATGGTTATTGCGTCTAAACACCTTTTAAAAAGATATATATTTAAAAGTTTTAAACAAATTTCAAAAAAAAGAAGCGCCTAATTATTTTTCCTATGGGATGAGAAACTTTTCTACAAGATTATAAATTTGTTGATCCACAGTAAGTTGATTCTGATTGATCGACAATAACCAGAAATTATTACCATCAATAATATTTATATATTTCTAAATGGTTGTAGGACTGTTATTAACATTAAGATTATAATCTTCTTGTTCTAAATAATCAACTCTATTTTCCAATTTATAAACAACTTTCAGTTTCATTAAATTCATAATCATAAAAATAATTAGTGATGTGAACTGGGGACTCTACAATTTTGTCATTTTAAAATTTTGAAATGAGCTTTAAAATTTTGACATTATCCTGGCCATCCACCACTCCATATTTAATTTCTACATCATAACAATCTGATTTATTCAATAAATTTGTCAAATCATTTAAAAGTTTATAGTTGGGACTTGGAAAGTTGTTAAATATTTTCCAAGGATGAAAAATTAGACCTTTTGAAAATATCACTATAATTACATATATGATGTTGATGATACATCCAGAATGTTCCCAGCTTTCTCATTCCACTTTACCGCCTTCCCAAAAACTTACATACCTACACCTACACCAATCATCAACACCAGTCAATCTCTCAATATCTCAAAGAGATCCAATGAGAGTCTCTCTCCTCTTTAACAAAATAACTGGTCATTCATTATATCATTATATGATGTTCCACTTGTTAAACTATAAATAATAATTATAATAATAATATCAATATAGTAATAGTAGCAGCAATATATATGCATATGTATGTGTGTTTGTTTTTGATTGAAGGCTAATTAATTGGTTTATTACAAGGTAATTTTGTACCTGTTATTCCATCAACAATCTAAAGAAAAATAAATAAATAAATCCATCATTTTATTTATTTAATCATCTCATTCTTTTCATTATTTATTTATTAATTTTATCAATATAATCATTGGTGCATTAATTATATATGGCTTTCTTCTGATAACTCTTATTATTATAACTTGGGAATCACAAAAAATAATAAACAAAGATTATTATTATTATAGTGTTAATGACCTTGTTGTACTCGTACACTTGTGTAGACAATTGGAACGTCAGATTAAAACCAAACAAAATTAAAAAATCCAAATAAATCAATAAACACTCCCAGAACCAATAAAATTTCATCAAAGAAACAAAAGGTTCTCTCTCGAATTTTATCTTTTACATAAAAAATCAATTGAAATCCTATAATTATTAATAACATTCCTGACAAAAAATTATTAATTCAATTAATCATATTTGATGTTTGTGTTACCATAATAAATTAAATTTTTCAAAAAAAAATGGCAACGTCAAAAACAAAGACTAATAATAACACCAACACCAACACCGCCACCAACAACACTACCACCGCCACCAACAATAACACATCTACATCAAATAATAGTAATAATACAACTGGTGCAGGAGGGAATGGTAATAATGGTGGAGGCGGTATAAGTAGTAGCAGCAATAATAATAATTCAGCTTCAAAAAATGGTAATATAACAAATTCAACAGATGTTCTTCCTAAACGTCTAACAAAAGGAAAAGAACCTGGGAAAGAAGTACCAGTTGTAAGTATTTGACTATGAAGTAAAAGTGAGACAAAATAATAGATGTTTGATAAGATTTCTTCTTCATTTACCATTACATTAACAAAGTTAGATTTCAACACATTTGATATTTCAGTATTACGTAGATATAAAAGAATCCATAAATTAAAGGTTAGAGATTACGCAACAAAAGAAGAATTGGTGGCAGCTGTAACTCGACATTATGCAACACAAACTGTTAAAGAGGTTGATATGATCGCGTCGTTTATTTACGCAGTGCAAAATAAAAGTTTGTTCCAATAAAAATCATGGAATACCCTTTGTTTGTTGTGAAATTTTTTTTATTGATCGTTATTATGTTTTTTTTTTTTGTATAGATAATACATTGAAATTACCAATTCCTTGAAAAACCTATAAATTATTCAAGATTAATCATTTAATAATATAATAACAATAAATAAAAATAGTAATTTACATAAATACAATAAAATTATTTTACACAAATAAAATTCATATTAATATATAAATTAAGATTTCAACATCTATTTTTCAGCAATTGCTAGAGATGAAGTTAATCAGAACCTTCAACCCAATCAAATTTACCATGCATGCATGCTTCTTTAATTATACACAAATTCTTTAAATGGTTCATTTGGTCCTTAAAGTTTTGGCCTACAATTAGAAAAAAGGGTTGATTTTCCGATTATCTTATTTTCCAGAAATGGAAATGTATTGTCATTATTTCATTGACTCCCTTCAATATCGAGTGTGTGTTGAAGAAGTGTTGTTTAGGAAATACTTTTTAAACTGTTACACACAACTTCTGGCAATTCTTAATATTAGTATTGGTAATTTCCGGAATTTTCCCAAAGCTAACCGATCTTCATCACACAAAATCATGCAATTATTACATTCAGTGTAAATATTACATAATTTTATGAAAATATTACAACATTTATATACTAAATAATATTATGGCGGGATAAATTTCCTGATGTTGTAATTACATGTGGAAAAGTCTACAAAGAAAATGATTTATGGTGTGTTACAGAAAAGGTTATAGAAAGATTTCTTAAAAGAATTGGTATTAAAAATCGGCAAATTTGGACAAAATTCCCGTTCAGAAAAGACAATAATAAAATTAAAATGATACATTCATTATAAGAATATCGAGAGTTTTCATTAATTTAAAAATGAAAATTTATATAAAATTTGCATTCTTTATTTCTATCCTAATTCCATTCTTCATCGCATATTAATATCCTACATTTTCCAATTAACGGTTCAAAAAGTTCAAATATTTGAACTGAGGGCTTGCTTTTATCATCAAATATGCGGTTTGAAACATGATAGCCAAGTTTGGTAGTTATCATTTATTAAATAATCAATTTTATTGAAAATTCTCAAGCACAAAACCCTTATATACAATATACATGGGAAATTTCTCTGTCATATGGCATAATTAGCTTTACGACAATGTAGTAGATAGCAAAAGATACATAAATTGTATAGAAAAATGATTAATTTCTTTTGCACTTTGCAAATTATTGTCATTCAAAAATAATTAAAATTTTTACAATATACAAAAGGTTTTGTGACAATAAATATGATAGGTGATTTGTATAATAATAATTTACACAACAAATCAATCTGTACGCAATGTATATATATTATTGTAGTCCCAATTTTAGCTTCCCGAAGACCAATTTAAATTTATATAATACATAGGTATAATGCATATATATTCGTTATGAGCGTAGCAGTAATCTCTTTTAGCCCAATTCGGATATCACCCCATAAAATCAACTACCATCTTTCAAAGCAACTACTTGTTAATAATAATAATATAATGATTTAAATATATATCATGATGGAACTGACGGCAACGAATTATAATATAATTTGTTCTTTGTGGATGCATCGGGTATTAATATGCATTTTTATAGATTAATAAACATTGAAGGTGATAATGACAAAGAAGAGGTCGACGTTATTATGAGAACACTTCTTAGTTATCCAAAAAAAAATTTTAAAGAACAAAAAATAAAAATAAAATGGTAGTAATTATTTCAAAACGTAGAATTTTCTTTGTTCTCCAATACCATAGATTGACTTTTACGTTTTCATATTTTTAAAAAAATTTGAGTAAAAATAAAAAAAAAAGACTTGTAATTGTAATTAATAACTTTTTCGTAACTTAAACTATATATATAATGATATATAAACCTTTGTATAATTATTATAAAACCATATTGGTTTAAAATAATTTCAATGCATATTTTTTTTGCATATATAAAAACCTTTATAGATACCATATGTAAATTCAATAACTCTCTCGGTTTACTCAGTCGGTCACATTTGTATAAAAAACCATCAATGGTTCAAAGAAGTGACCCGCATCGTACAATGTAAAATTTTATACTAGTACTGATAAAAGTACAATTTCAACCCTATGTAAAGTCCACCCACACGCTGATAATTTTAATATAAATCCTGCCAATTTAACTGCCAAAAAGAAAAGATGCCGACAAACATTGGCTGAAAGAGAAGGTGAATTATTGCAAGTAATAAAAAACGGTCAAAATAAAATTAAAAATCGTTGTCATTCATTCCTGAAATAAATAGCTTTATATATATTATTTATTTATTTATTTTACACGATATTCCAAACCGTATTTCTCAGGTTCTAATAATTCATCAATAACTGTTTTAACTATCCTTGATAATTCCATTTCAACCTGGTCCTTATCATCACCCGATAACTCAAAATAATATTTGATTTTTGGTTCAGTACCACTACAAAAGATTAATTATGATTGATTTATTGATTGACTGATTGACTTGCAAGTTAAATTTACTAATTAATTAACAAATAATTCATACCTAGTTCTTAAAGTTACAATACACCCATTTTCCAAACCAAAAGTAATCATTTGTGAACTTTTGGAAATAGGAAATATTGGTTTGTTATCAGGTTGACTCGAGTCATAACCAATCGTTAAATCTCTTGTGTAAATTACTTTATAATTTGCCAATGTTGTAGGATATGATAACGGATACTAAATAAGGAAATAAGCAAGGTATCAATAATATTAATCATCGAACCCCAAAAATTTAAAGAAAAAGGAAAAAAAAAAGTTGGGGAAAAATAATAATAGTTACCTTAGAGTCTGTAGTTTGTTTGGCCTAATTAAAAATAGATTGTTATAAATTAACACACATACACACACACACACATAATCTTATAAATAGTATAATAAACTTACGGGGGTTTCATCATATCTAATCTTATCGAAAATTTTATTAATGGTTGTTGGGGAGTGACAAACATAATAAGAATTCTTACCCATAAAATATCCATATCTAGTCGTAAACACAAAAAATCAGTGAAACAAACAATAAACAAACAAGCAAACATAAACACAAAAAAAAAACCTATATTAAAACAATTAGCTATACCTTCGGTATAATTCGTCTAAATACTCCGAAACTGTTGTTCCACGTTTTTTTAACTGTACCGTCAATTCAGCAAATACAGCTAATGCAGTAACTCCATCTTTATCTCTAACAATATCACCAATCATAAACCCGATAGCTTCTTCATATGCAAATAAAACATCATAACCTTGATTTTTTTCTAGATTGATTGCTTCATTGCCTATCCATTTGAATCCTGTCAATGTTTCACCAAAATAAAATCCTTCTTTTTTTGCTACACTTGATAACATTTTGGATGAAACGGTGCTGGCTAACATTGCTACTTTCTCTTTTACAATTTAACAATTGAATTTTTAATTGAAAAATAATAAAAATAAAAAGATAAAAAGAGTTAATCTATGACTGACTATATATAATATATAACATGATTATTTATTAAACAATATTTATTATTTACCAATAGGTTTACCAGTTTTCTTATAACCATCTAAAATAGAACAAGCAAGCATTACACCGATTTGGTCACCAGAAAAAGTTATCCATTCTCCACTATTTTAAATTGAGAGAGTACTAATTAATATTTTTCCTTGATGTGTATAAAAAAAAAAAATAGAGTTACAAATTTTTTTAACTTACTTTTTTTGTTTCTCAGAAATTGAAAATCGGTCAGCGTCAGGATCTGTCGCTAATATAACATTTGCTCCAACTCCATCGGCTGTTTTTATAGCTAATGTCTAATGATGATGATGATGATGATAATAATAATAATAATAATAATAATAATAAAGAAAACAAATTATCAAATTAAAAAAAAAAAATTGGAAAAAGATTAAATTTTTTGTTTAATCGCAATCATTTTGCGTTTGCATACATACTAATGATTCTGATAACGATGATCCGATATGTGTTTGTGTTATGATACATTAGCGAATGACAAAAAAAAAGGGGGGAATAAATGAAATTTGATAATATAAAACCTTTTCCTTCTTCAGGATTTGGAAATTCAACTGTTGAGAAATCAGGATCAGGATCAACTTGTTCTTTTGTAGGAATAAAAGGTTTCAATGAAAACACATCAAAAGCTCTGGCAGCCATTGGAGTACCAACGCCATGCATAGCTGTATAAACAAACTTGAAATTTGATGCCATATTATCCTGTCTAGAAACACAACAATAATAAATCATGTAAATATTGATTGACACAACATATTAAAATAATAAATAATATAATATAATTCTTACTGATGGTGTGACAATTTCTTTACTTCTTCGAAATAAGCATCAAACATTTCTTTCGTTTTATCAATACACAGTGAACTATTATCCACTAAATAGGGATCCCATATCCACGGTTCAAGATTGTTTTTAATTGAATTAGCTATTCCTTGATCATGTGGCCGAGTAATCTTTTCCAAAATTAAAAAATTGCAAGATAAAATTTTTTATTATCAATGTGATTATTGATATAATAATGACAATAATAATACCTGACATGCATTTTCCCAATAACTAGATTTTTTAAAAAAAGAATCTTTTTATTTAAAAAAAAAAGAAATTCTATCAACAAATAGCATTGTTAGTTAGATCAAACACCTACACTTTATAACCATTGTCCTGTTTTGGGTTCTAATAATAATATCAACATGTTATTTTAGATTATCAATTATTTGTGTAAATAGATGAATGGATATATATATATATCAATTAAATAACATAAATGTACATACATGAGATGCAGTTATCATTATGCCACAAGCAGCACCTAATTTCTTGACACCAAACGACTATTATAATTAAATATACGTGTATAACCGAAAGCAGAAATTAATAAATAATAAATAAATAACTGATATATGTATTTTTTGTGTGTGTATGTGTAATGTAAGCATACCACTAAAGGTGTGTGGACCAGTTCGCGATAAAAATAAACAAGAAAGCCCTTTGATAAGAAAACAGCAGCAGCTAATCTTGCGAAATTTTCCGAGTTGTGTCGATGATCATGACCAATCACAATACCATTAACAACTGATGTGGGTAATGTATCAAGTAAGTACACACAGAGACCCTATCACCATCAAAATTTAATATTATTGATTTAAAATTTTTCCCAAAAATCATGAAATAAATAGATAAGCACTTGAGAAGCCTGAATCACTGTTAAATCATTCATTCTAGAAAATCCTGCTTCCATCTTTGATCTAAGACCTATATAATGAATGTGCGAATGACGAATGAATGAACAACATGGATAGATGATAGATTGATGGATGGATTATGGATAGATAATGGATGGATGGATGATGGATGGATGGATAATGGATAGATGGACGATAGATGGATGGATGGAGATAGACACCTGCTGTACCAAAAGAGATCCTATTAAGGAGTCGTTTTCCTAATTCTTCAATGTTCCTTTCATCATATAATTTTTCTATTTCTGCTCTCGTTGATGGATTCTTTTTTTAAAAAAAAAATTCATTTATAAATTTATTCCGAAAAATTACGTCACTATTACTATCAATATTGTCATTTCCGTAAAAATGCAAACACAAACTTTGTCCAAACGAAGCCATTCTTGTACAAGAGACTCAATCACCGAATCCATTAGAATATTTTATTAAAATACGTAACAGATAAAATAATTCGTTACACGAAACAAATACAAAATAAATAAATGTAGGAATGATTGACATAACAATATTAAAAAGATACTATTTGATGTAAATAAAAAAACAACTTCTTATCAAAGCAGATTATGTGGAGAAAGAACATCATCAATCAGTCGATAAAAAAAAAATTTTCCCTCACACAATAAAAGTTTCTCAAGAGATAAAAAATTCAAGTAAATCGAAACGAAAATATTCTTTTTTATCCTTATTTAAAAAAATTTCGTGTGAGAAATTTAAAAATATTTTTAGAAATAAAAATAAAAAAAACCAAATTTATTATCTATCTGCATTTTTAAAACCATCTTATTTTCCATATATTGTTATTGATAAGATAAAACATCAAAAATGATGATTTTCCATTGTTTTTTTATTTTGAAAATTTTCATTGCATCTATATCAGTGTAACCAACAAATTAGATGTACACGCATATATATATATAATATAGGGCTGAAGCGTATGTAAGTAGATATTGAAATTTTGGTCGAAATTAGCGTTTTATATGATGTAAATTTTATTCTAATCACTTTTTTTGGTACAAAATATTATTTTTTTGCAGATCATTTAATTCTTATACGAACATACTTAATTATCACCATCTCATCAATTTTTAAAATACCAGTTAATTAATTATATTACATTATATTTATATTAAATGAGGTAAATAAATAAACAAGTGTATTTATCTTTTTGATTAGATGAAGGAAAATTTATTATTATTGTGTAAATATAAATAAATACTATTATTATTGTATATACTATATTACTTTGTAATCCATTTATTTATATATATTTGACTTTTTTTTTTAAATCATTTTAAATTTTTAAAATAAAATTTTTGTTAAAATAAAATAATAAAATCAACTTTTTTTTTGAAAATAAAAATTTGCCATTCTCATAAACAAATAAAATGGCCTCAGAACTAGTTGCTTCTTCCACTGCAAGAAGAATACCAATTGCTTTTTCAAAAAAGAATTCTTTTTCAAAGGAGGCCTTTTCTGGCACCTTGGCAGGATGGGCTCAAGTTGTTGTTGGTAAATAAAATTATTTGCTAACGTAATTATTAAAAATAAATCAATTCTATAACATAAAATATTAATAATTATTAATCGTATTTCTTTCCTCCGGCTCCTTTTCATTCTTTCCAGGGTTCCCGTTTGATACCATCAAGGTTCGACTTCAAACCGACTCTCAAAAATATAAGACGGCGATAAACTGTCTAAAAATGACAATTAGACAAGAGACTGTAAGTTATGCTTTTATTATTATTATAATTATTTCCTTGGATTTTCGTTTTCTCATTTTCTCGTTTTCATATTTTATTTTTCCAATGATATAGGCTCTGGGTTTATACAAAGGCTCTTCTTCTCCGATGTTGGGAAACGCAATATCCAATGCCATTTTATTCAGTACAAACAAAAAATTCCGTGGCATGTTCAATGATGGTGACCCAACACACTCTTTGACATTAAGTAAGTATCATTGCTATCACTCTCATTATCAAATTCTTTTCATAATCATATAATTACTATTATCACCGCAACAGTCCAACTAATCAATTATAATCATTTTTAAAAATAGACGAGATTGCAAAAGCCGGCGCATTAACAGGCGTAGTTATGTCACTTGTGAATTGTCCGATAGAGCTTCTCAAGGTCAAGCTCCAAACGCAATATGATCAACCGGCCGCAAACAAAAAAGTACGTTTTTTTTTCCGAATCTATTAACACGTGATAAGATAAATGAAATCTAATCCACATTTCCTATTATAGTATACGAGCGTATTTCACGCAGCCAGTTCAATTTATAATCAAAATAACATTAAAGGATTGTATCGTGGTATCACAGCAACTGTAATCAGAGATGTACCTAGTTTTGCCACCTATTTTTGTAAATATTTTTTATTTATTTATAATCAATTTTTATAATAGTTTATATATATATATATATATTAATTATTTTCTTATTTTCTCTTATATTAGTTGTTTATGAAGGAGCCAAGAAATTAATAAGTGATCGTAATCACCGAGGAGACCTCAACAAACTTACATATTTAGAACTACTGATGGCGGGAGGCACAGCTGGTATCGCATGTTGGATACCTTGTTATCCGCAAGATGTGATCAAAACTCATATACAAAGAGACTCAAGGTTAATATAAATAGATGAATAATAAACAAATAAAATTTTTATTAATATCTCTTTACAACAAACAACTAACACATTTATTTATTTATTTATTTATAGTTACACCTCAACTCTACATTGTATTCGAACTTTAATTCGAGGTGCCATAAATTCAAATAAATCAATACTTGGAGTATTCACCAAAGGTCTCGCACCCACTATGGCCAGAGCATTCCCTGCTAATGCTGCAACATTTTTTGCCTATGAAAAATCAAAAGAACTTTTTCGTGAAAAATAGCATTTATTCATAACACCATTTATATTAAGATTTTATTTAATATTTTTATATATGTATGTTATGTATATATATATTATGTATAAATTTGTGTATATTGCATTATTTTCTTTTTAAAGAAAAAATGTCGAAACCAATTTTTTTTTATTTTTTTAGATTTTTCAAAAACAAAAAACATTTTTAAAATAATTCATTATTTCATATAATTCATTTTCATTCATTAATTTCTCATTCATTTCAAAAAAAAAAACAAAATTATTTTAGATTCTTCATTTTTTATATGCAAAAATTTTATTTTTTACTTATGATTTTTCAATCAAACAACCCAAAATTACAAATTATGTTGTTTTTTAAATAACAAAAAAATAATAAAAAAGTATAATAGTTAATAATTAATAATAATATTATTATTAATATTAATATTATTAATATTAATAATGTATTTAGTAACAGGGCGCATAAATTTTACCGGTTTAGATCCGATTATTTTGGGGGCAACGCTTATTACTCACACGAGAGGAAGTTTTATATTATCAGCTAAGATTTTAAATTCTGAGTGCAAATATACCTTATTTTTTGGGGTTAGGGAATCAAAGTTCCTTAAAGGCCTTAATATCTTATGTATATCAATTATTCTATGTCTTAGAAAAGTCGATAATAAAAGAAAAATAAATAACCTTAATAATAAAATTAATTCTAATCAATTAATATCAATTCTAAGGTATTTATTTAATTCTTCATTATTTATTGTTAACACCATTATCATAATAATAATTGTTACTACTAATAATATTATTATTACCAACATCGTTATTACTAAATTTCTATATATATTAATTATTTTCTTTTAGTAAGTCGGGAATCATCGGAATAAGCACAATCACCAAAGTACCAACTATAAATATATTTTAGGAAGTTGTAAATTTTAAAGGTAATTCATTGAACGCCGTGGCCACGAGATAAAAAGAAAATTTCTCGCCCATTTTCTTAAAATATATTATTTCATTATTATGTATGGTTTATTGCATGGCGAAACTGTTCCAATTAGAACTTTGTATCCTACCAAACAATAATAAAGATAAAGAAAAAAAATCAAGTTCGAACTAATAAGAATTTATCTACATTGTTATTTCAAGCCACAGAAAAAACTTGATATTAAATTTCGAGTTTGAGTCGGCATTTTTTCATGAGAGCTTTAACCTCAAGATAATTATGAACGCTGCTGATATTCAATTCTCCTTGATGTGATGTTCACCATTTGTTATTTGATTCTGACTTGAATACCATTTAAATTAATTATAAGAAATTTTTTTTTCAAATTTGTCTTTACCATCAGTTATAGAGATATTTTCAAGCATATCAACCGATATTCAGTCACACTTTCAATGCTAGCAATCCTTCTTCTTTCTATTTTTCAGATCCTTTGTTAAAGTACAACATTGTTCCTAGTGGCAATTAAACACTTTAACTATTTAATAAAATGTCTATGTTTTTGAAACTAACCTCTGTCATTCCTGTCATTTTTTGATTGTTTGTCTTTTAAATGTTCAATATAAGTAAGTTTTGGTTTTTTGAAACAAAAAAATTTAAAATAAAATTTGATGCTGGAGATGGTTGATTTACCAATGATGTTCATTAGAAACATCACCATTGAGGGATTTTTGTTGATCTTAGAAGGACCTCGGACAATTATAATTGAACTGGTATTGAGAAAAGTGGGTAGTGATCTCGTTAAAACACCAGTCAGATCTTCAAGCATTTACATAATTGGGTTTTTAAAAAAAAAAAAGGCCCAAAAAGGAAACTCACTAGCCATTTTTAGTAAGATATTCTGAGTATTTTTCACTGTTTTCTTACCGAGGTCCTATCTTAGAGCTGGAGCTGTGTCAGAAAAATAAATTGTACACTCTCCTACAACACAGCCAATATGATCTCATAAATAATGCACTTTTCTTTTTTTTTTTAAGATAAGATTTTGAATGAAGCATATTTTAATATTGCCACCATCTTTAATTTTTATTACATTACGAATTATACGGATCTTTGCGGTGATATAACTTGGCGTCTTGACAGAAATTTTCTGAAAAAATTTCCTTTTTGGATCAAGGCAGCAGTTAACTTTGTTGACAAGTGGATCTTTTTTTCTCGGCTACAATAGCATAAAGTTTTGATAGTATCAATTATTCTTGAATGAAAGAATACCTGGTGCTTAAAAATGTCCCAGAATTAATTCTTTGTGTCAAATCTCACATCACTGGTTGTGCCCGGTATATAAAATTCGGCGTGCAGAATGTACGTGCTAACCAAAGTCGGAATTCATCAGCAAATTTTTTGGTTAGCACGCACATCCCGCACACTGGATTTTATACCAATAAATTTCCCCAAAGAAATTGGGAATAATTCCAGTGAAATTAACCAATGAAATTCAATTACAATATCACACAAATTTCTTATATCATTCCAAAAAAAATTTCATTGTTACGCACTTGTAATAATTACGTTAATATTGTTTCCTTTATTAATATTATTATATAAATAATTTAAGAACACTTTTTTGTTTTCTTTCAAATAAATACAGCAATTCCTTTTCCTTGCCTTTTCTTAAATGGTTGAAAACAATTGCCCCAAGTGTAATCAAAAAAATAAATATCGTCATTGGTGTCAAACTTGCTACCCCCAATATTTTCAAGACGAGTTTCCTAATTGGTCAAGTGGTAACCAAATTATAGACAATTTTATTCAAGGAATTCAACTTAGTGCGACTGAATGGGAGCATTATTTAGAATGGATTCCATACGAAAAACTAGTTGATGTCCATTATTTGACAAAAGGAGGATTTGGGAAAGTCTATTCTGCAGTGTGGCCGGAGGGACCAAAAGTCCGTGATGAATACAATGTCGAATTTTTTTGTAGAGAAGAAAACCATCCTGTTGCTCTTAAAACCATTAGTCATTTGGGACCAACCGTTGAAGGATTCTTTTCCGAGGTGAGCAGGGTTCACTTATTTCGAATTATCCTAAGCTCAATTCATTTTAATAATCTATTTTATGTTTTTATTAAAATACAGATTAACAATTTTATTGATAGTAAGTTTTAGGAGAGGGGATCGGAAAAAAAAGATTCTTCTAAATAACAATTGATTCATTTATATTAATATAGCAATGAAAGGTTGTGACGGATTTCATCGGGCTATGATAAGATATTATGGAATGACCCAGAACCCAGAAACAAAAGAATATATGATGGTAACAGAATTTGCAAGTCAAGGTACACTACGTGATTCGTTGAGTAAAATATTAGGAAATAAATTGTCATGGAAAGATAGAATATTTTTCCTTTGGATTACTTCATGTTCTCTCCAATTAATACATGACTCTGACCTTGTTCATTGTGATCTACACAGTGGTAATATATTGTTGACTAATAATCTGCCAGATAGAAATTTTCCTATGCCAAAAATAAGCGACCTTGGTTTAACTTGTCGAGTTAATTCAACGGATGATGGCGTATTCGGTGTTTTACCCTATATTGCGCCTGAAGTTTTACTTAAGAGGCCTTATACACAAGCTTCAGATGTATATAGTTTCGGTATCCTTATGTGGGAGATGGCTTCAGGCCAAATAGCATTTTCTGATCAGCCGCATGACTTTGATTTAGCAATGAAAATTTGTCAAGGACTTCGTCCACCAATCACTGATGCTATGCCAGAATTTCTTCTAAAGTTAATACAACAATGTTGGGACGCAAATCCAGAAAATCGACCTGATAGTAGTTATATTGGTGCGAAATTAGCTTTTGGAAAACCTGAAAGGCTTGATTTAATTATTAAGCCTGAAAATTCAAACCAACAAACCAAAATTAGTTTACGATCACACGAAAAGGCGATTTACACTAGTAGATTTATGAATTTTAAAAATCTCCCCGAACCTACGAATGCTATAATTTATGGTAAGTAATATTTAACAATGATAAAAATGAATAAAAAATTGTATTAATAATGTATTGGCTGTATTTGCAGATACTCAACAACTTAGTCTCTCAATTTCTGATATCAAAGAAATAATATAATAATACCTTGTATCTACGAAACCTTTGATCAAATATTTAAACACAAAAAAAAAATTTTTTTTAAATATTATATATATATAACAGAGTTCCTTATAATCATTGGTTCTTTAGTAAGAAAGAATTCTTTGTTCTTTCAATAAGTTATGTTTTACTATTTATTTACTAAAGCATATGCAGCTATAGATAATTATTCTAATTGTATACAAGGTATTAGTGAATGATATTATCAGATTATAGAATCAAAAAAATAAAAAAAAATAAAGAATTTATTTTCAACTTGTCGAAGAATCTCGTATGGCGAATTTTTAATTAATCGAAAATCTACTATTTACAATTTTACGGTGATGATATTGGTTGGGTGGATTATATTAAACAAAATCATGCTTTTAAAAAAACATATATATTTTTTGATTTTTGCACGACAAATTTACAACTGTAGTCAAAAATTTGATATCACATATTGAATAATACAGGTTCTATCTTAAACATATTGGCACCACAGGTCGGGATGGAACAAAAGAGCAATTGCATTATCAATTTACGGGATGAGTAAAGTTATTACTCACTGGTTGGGGAGACTTTGCTGTTTTCTGCTCCGTAGATATATACTCTTCAATCGCTTTTTTTTTCTATTATACGGCTGAAAAAAAAGGATCCAAAAACAAACAATTTTGGATAAATAGCAAAGATATCAATGACGACAAACTGGATATTAAAATATTTGTATTGTCATAAATGGCACCACCACCATCCTGGTTGACAAAAAGTCTAAATAAAAAACCATTCTAATTTGGGGTAAAAGCAGTCATATATATAAATTTCATTTTAACACAACATTCCAAATTTGGGTGATTATTATTGGTGAATCCAAGTTTATGACTCTCAATTTGATGTAAAAAAACTTATTAATTGATTTATTATTTTTTTAAATTATTTTTAATAGATTTATGAAAGATCTTATCTATCTATATACATGACCAACTTGTTGTAGTTGATGTCATATATGTTGTTAAGAATCAAGCCATTAATGTGATACTTACGTATATTAAATTATTATATTTTCAATATTATTATTATTATTATTCATTACCAATTAAAATACCATTAATTAAAGTTCCCACAACAACCCATCCGACGAAACCCGTTATAGTATAAACAATTAGATTTTCTATTCTTAAAAGCTTTCTTTTAGAATCAATTGATGTGCTAGTTATATAGAAACTTAAATCATCTCTATCATCGTTATCTTTATTTATGTTAAACAGCCAATATAGTATTGCTGTCAGCGCATAATGTCCATCTAATTGGATTGCTGGTAATATGTTTAGTACACAGAGTGCCAGTGAAAATGACACTGTATATCTATTTGAGTTATTTATTTTATCAAATTTTTAATTAGAAATTGTTTGGTTTAATTAATTAGAATATTGGTAAATTAATTACCTCATGATCAATTCTGTTGACATTGGTATCCATAAAGGCACCCATGACCATCTAGATTGAAGAATACCAACTTGTACTATTATCATTATCATTATCATTATCACAGTAATTATAATAATAGTTAATTGATACATAAATATAATGTAAATAAATATAACTCTATGTATATATAAACAACAAAAGAAATTAATTACCAATTTCCCATACAACTTGTAAATCACCCATGTATAATAAAACGTTTTCTTGATCGTTATTTTGATTAATCCAAGGCGAGTCTCTATAATATATTCTTAAAGGTCTAGGGAATCCAGCAGGCATATATGGTAGCACACATAATGGTGAATTAGATATTGTTGAACAATCAGAAGCTTTTGTACAACGTTGTTCATTAATATTGACAAGAATTGGTCTTGTTGGTAGACAAACAAGCTTCTATCAAAAAAAATATTATAAATATAATTAATCACACACACGCACACACGCACACACATATATCGTATAGATAGATACCAAAGGATGTGGATCTTTTTTTTTGAAACATGAGATAGAATCATTTTTCGAATTTCCATAAGGGTGTTCAAATGAGATGTCACAACAATCTAAAGAATTTGTTACGTCTTTTTCTGAAGCACAGAATCCATTATTATTGATTTCTATTTTATCATTATTTAACAAGTAGTTTGACCAACTTTCCAATGATGGATAATTTAAATCATAGTCATCTAACTTTGTTATTAAACTTGAAGGCATTAAAAAATTATGTAAAGGCGTGTCCTAAATTAAAGAAAAGTGCATGAAATAAGTCTATATTTCTTTGTATACAAGATAATTTACAAACACGCACACTCATATATAATAATGAAAAATACTTTTTCAACTTCGACCACATTCACTCCAATTCCATCCACAGACTTCCATGCAGTAGCACTTGAAAGTATTTTTATAACGCCAATATTCAACAATAAAGTCCCTAACAGAAATACAATTGCATTATGCCATACTCCAGCACAAATTATTCGAAGTTGTCTTATAGGCGATAATGTTTTTATCGTTCTTAAAGGAAGATTTACAAATGCTCCAGGATATAATACATATAAAAATATCCCAGTTGATTTTATATGCAATGATTCACTAATGATAAATCCAATATATATAATTGACACAAAATAGTTACACCAACGAATACTAATGATAATAATAATAACTACTTACTTTATTGCAGAAATTGCATGACCAGCCTCATGAATCATTCCACAAACTAAAAGTGCTATGAGATAATAAGCAAGATGTGAAATTGGTAAAGTGATACCAGGGATCTATTTGTTTGAAAAATAAAAATAAATATATATAAATCATCACTTGAATGCTAATTTCCAAGTGAGCGAGTGATATGATTACATACTACGGGTTTAAATACTTGGTGATCTTTTTTTTCCAATAAATTATTATTATTATAATCTTCTAAACCTCTTTTTCTCAATCTTATATTTGATCCATCTGTCGTTGAAGAATTTACAAATAGTTTTGTTGATGTTGAAGATACATCAGTGTCCAACACAACATTTGAAAACAACTCTATTAAAAGTTTCCAGCTGGCAACCATTATTACACCAACACCAATTATCATAACGCATATTCCAACAAATGCACCAATATTAAACCATATTCTCCAAAATCTAGGTGATTTTTTTGCTATTGATGTAAAAACGGGATTTAAGATCGTTGTGGTTAGTCTTATATTAAATGGTTTTGAGTGTATAACAGTGTAATTTTTTTGTGAACGAAATCTTGGTAGTGGAGTGTTGTTGGCGGCTGATCTAACCGAGTTCGTTAATGGTTGCTACCAACAAATAATGCATTTATATTTATTAAAAAAAAAATATTAATAGTAGTGGTTTTTGCGTCGAGTGTAGATACCTTTAATTTTTGTTGCAGAAAATAAGTTATAAGATGAAGAATAAACCAAAAACTTAAGAAAGTTATTGTTAATGATATCATCATTTATCTAATTTATCTATTTATGAAATAATGTCTAAATTTGTACCCCAATTTCCAAGTAGGTGATATCAATTTCTTCTTTACCATCACTAATTTTTCTTTGAATAATATTATTAATGAACTTTCAAAATAATTTATTTGTTAACAATTTATCCCTTCGCAAAATTTTTACTTTTAATGAGGCGACAACAAATTTATAATTTTTCTTCTTCCTTACCAACAAATTGTTATTAATACCACTATGATTGAATCCTCATATATATCTTCTTCTTCTTCGTCTATTGCTGAATCTTCAATTTCACGTCATGTTCTTTAACTCTGTCATCAATAGTTCGTTTGTTGTTAAACATTTTTTCAAAAAATACTGATTTAAGGTAAGGATTAAAAATGAAAATTTATTAAACAATAATGTATTTTCGTTGACAAGAGCTGACTGTGTGAAAAACCTTTGTTACCAAGTTCCTAGTATAACGGTAGTAATTTTCTCGTTAATATCTCCGAGTCAAGATCGTATATTTAAATAAAGAGTTTGACTCGTAACAGTAATCAAGTTGATCATGAGAAGTAGGAATATTAAATTAGATGGCAAATTTTTGGTTTTAACTTCGGAAAGGTCAATTATTAGAGAATTTGCATGATGGGAAAGAGGCTGTTATTGATGTCTAGGTTTATGAGGGAAAACCGTCTATAAAGAATTAGGAATTCTTCAAGTTAAAGTCTCAATTAAAATATAAACGGTGTTCTGTGTAACGATATCATGGATAAAACCATCATTGATCTTTGTTGATTTTATAAAAACATACAATTTAGGGATCTAATGAATAGAATTCTTATAACCTTGTGGGTGTTCACACAGCATCTTTACTTTTTTTTTTGAAATTCCACATAAAAGTAGTGATGTTAGCCGGCTAATAATCTGCATGCATAATTTCTAAATTTGGTAATAGATTTCTGAGTTACTTTCTTGTTATAGAAATCAAATTACCAATTTAGGTAGTAAACGGCTTAGCCGGCTAAGGATTTTTAAACGGCTAACATCACTAGATAAAAGTTGGATTTTAACTTTTATTTTTAAATAACTTGTTAATCAAAACTCTTAAGCATGTGATCCACTTTTACATTTATAACAACCAAAAGAATTACTAATGCAGACATTACTGGTAGTATTGGGATTATCGGCCGGAAGATGGTATTATTAATAATAAACGGGTGTTGACGGATCACGGTTAGCTTATTATTATTATGTGATTTTTTGGTCCACAAGTGGGGGACACGAAATAGTCTATTTTATTAAAATTGCATCATTGATCGTGAATACTACACAATAGGATACTAGGATGCTTCGCATCCAATGCTAATTTTGATACTCCGAACAAATATATGTATATATAGTGTGATTGAGTCATGTAATTTTATATAATATTATGTATTTCGTAAAACTCTCGTTACATTTTCGGGTTTAAAAATTTGTTTGGTAATAAATCAATTCTATATTTTTATTTCCAATCGGTACACTATAGTGAACACCTGATTGAATTTTTGGCAGTTCAGAATAAAGTTTTTACACTGATTTCTATCAAATTTGTCCAGAGAAACAATTATTAGATGGGCAAATCTTGAACATTATACGATCATAATAGTGAATTCATTTAAATCATATATTCGTGTAATGTTATTTGTTTTTGTTAGTCATTTCCATGATGTATAAAAAAGATTGTTATTTTGATTACTGAAATAAATCAGTTACAAATGAATAAAAGGAACTTTATAGAAGCCATTGAGCTTTGTAAAAGAGTCATTTTATTTATTACAATTATTCAATACAGTCATAGATTTATCGAAGCCTTCTAGGTACAAGAAGGAGGCAGTAAACAAGCAAAGAACCAAAGTAAATTCGTAAACTAATTAATTGACAAGCACTGAATTAACTAACAAGAGTAGCCCAAAATTAAGCTGTAATTAAAAAGCTACCTTGCAATGTCACCATTTAACAAGAATCAGTAAACTTTATTATAAGAATATTATTATAATTTAGAAATAAAAATGAAATAAAATAAATAATTATAATGAATAAATTTATAGTGGAGATTGAATTAGTCACCCATCAATTCTTTCTTTCAATTACTAGAATCTAACATTTATTAAATAAAAAAATATTGTTAGTAATAATTAACAGATAGTAATTCAATCAATTAATAATGAAATTTTTATTCACCTTCAGTATTTAAGAGAAAAGAGTTACAATCAAGATCATTTAATGAACTATCATTACTTGTATAACTCTTAAAGCTTTTTGATTTAGCAATCTCTTCATCCAAGATTCTACTTTTATGATACGCATCTGGATGTGATTTGTGTGCTTGTTGCAAAACACTACTACCAGTAGTGTTATTGCTACCATCATGATTAAAATCATTGTTTTTAAATTTATCATGAGCAAAACCAAAAAGCTCTCCACTAGTTGGCCTTTTTGATGGATCTACATCCCAACACTGCTGCATCATTTCTGCATAATCATCAGGCATTCCTGGTAATATTGGTGGTCGTAAACCTTCTGCACATATATCAAAAATTAAATGATGATTGTGAGCTCTGTCATCAAATGGTGGATGACCTGCAAATATTTCCCACATCAACATCCCAACACTATAAATATCAGATTCTTTTGTATTTTTTTTGCCTCTAAGTAGCTCGGGTGCAACATATGATAAAATGCCATAGACTTTATCTGATGATTTTTCATCAATTGGACCACATAATCCCAAATCTGTAATATAACAAATATCTCCTACTTCCATAAGTATATTACCACTATGTAAATCACAATGGATTAATTCTTTTTCATGTATATCATCTAATGCAGCACATAAATAAGTAAAGATTGTAATCCTGTCTTTTAATGTTAAATTTAAATGATTTTTTTGCAAATAACCCCTTAAACTTCCCTCTGCTTTATAATTTAAAACTATTGTATAATTTCCATTATCTGGGAATTTAGTTATACCATAGCATTCAACCATCATCCCTGATTTAATTTTACAAAAATTCATTGCCTGAAATTGAATATAAATCAATTAATATTATATAATACAGTATACACACAATACTGTTTTAATGACAACTACCAACCTCATCAAAAAAGCCTTTTCCTGGATTACTTGAATTATTTAAACTTTTTAATACTACATATTGCCTTCCTAAATATCCAAATTCTTTTTTATTTTCATCATAATCATCAATACCTCCTCTTGTCCATTCAGCAGTAAAAATTGAACTAAAGCCACCTTCAGTTAACTTTGTTACTTTTTCAAATTGCTCAAAAGGTATCCACTCTAAAATAAATGTTGGCAGAGATGATTTGATTTGACATTGTTGAATAAAATTATCAATTATCTTATTTCCAGATGTCCAGGTAGTGAAAAGACTCTGTAATTGTAAGCTAATACAACCTTCACAGAATCTATCAGAATATCTCGTCAATTTACATTCATTACATTCTTTTGGTTTGCCTGATTTATATATTGCCTTTATTAATTCTTCATCATAAATAAACCCTTCTTTACAATATTCTTTTTCATTTTCAGAAAGCTCCTTGTTTTTTTCAACTAATGAAAAAAAATAATCTTTTCCACTTTCTTCGTCGGAATTGACTGTAGCATTATTGCTCATTTCATTAAAAATTTTAAATACAAATTTGCTTCTTTCTGGTGATAATAATCTATGATGTGACATTCTGTAAAAATTTAAGATTTAAAACTTGACTTGGTGTTTTGATGAATAGAATGACGTGTAACAAACAATTTTCCTGTACTCTTTTAAAACTTTCTCCACATATACTGTATATAGTACAATAGTAATAGGACTAATAAATTAGTATAAATCTTTCATTATTTTAAAGAACGACTTTAACATTAGCAAAAATTCATCATCAAACTTTAGTGATTGGTTCAACAATAAAAATTTTTAGCATTCTTCTTTTTTCTTTGTCTACTATTTTTTTAAACTAAAAACTTACAAACATCTGCACCTAAACCTGTTCCATGTACTATATAAAAGTCGTCCTACGTACCAACATTGACCATCCTCTATGTGTTTCAAACTCAGACACTAAATACAGCTCAAGCATATTATTAATATTATTGGGTATTACTATTTTACGCATAGTTCGAAAAAAACATAAAGTTAACACAACTCGTATGTATGTAAAGTTGCTTTAAATACCAACATTGGCCCGCCTATGTATGCTTTGAACTCAGGAGTTAAAGATAATTCGAATGCGTTTGATTTTACAAAGTGTAATAATTAAAAGAATAAATATTAGTAATAGTTTTATTTCGAAAAAAAATACACGGACATATAATTATTTTCATACAATTTAATTAAGTAAAACTTCTAATTCAAATTATGACATTGTAAAACTTTCCATGGTAGTTATTCTTCTTGCGATATACTGTACATACAATGATAATAACTTTTTATCCATCCCCGGGGCACGCATTTTTACAGTATTCTTGAGGTTTGAAAATTATCATCAATAGGAGAAAAAACTAGAATTTCAAATTAGATGATTTGATGATGAACAACGAGGAATGGCTACTATTATTACTATTTACTTTTATTTTCTTGGCGTTTGTTATTTACTAGGTTCATGTCTTTCGAGGCAATCATTTCTGTTCCTTTTCCAAAGGGATCGTTAGTTTTGCTGCTGAGTTTAATTTACACAACCGGTAGTTTATACTTTTAATTCAATCCATTGATACTCAGTCAACTAATGCTAACTCATATCTTGGTGGTTGCATTTTTTTGTAATTTTATTTTGACTAAAATATTTGGATGTTTAAAAAGCGAACAGTGTCTATATAAAAGATTAAATAGATGGAAAATTCAAAATAACACCATCTTCGTCATAAAAATTGGAAATTGTTCAATGAAATCATTAAAGAGCTCGATATATATATAGTATCCTTATGCTTTTATCATTGGCAATGTTACCGAGTACATTGTGATGAATATTGAGAAAATAATTTTCTGTAGTTTGAAGGTGAAATTCAGCTGAACATAATAAGAATTGATGTCGGATCACATTTCTGAGGGAAATATTTATATTGTTACGATTATTAGTTGAAAATAAACATCAATGTTTTTTCTTCTGTTAGATTCTTTGTTTCAACCATTGGCCAAGATTCCTTAGTTTATTGTTGCAATTATTGTTGTTGTCGCCGTCGTCGTTGCTGTCATTTTTAAATAATTAACTATTTCATGAATTATATCTAATTTGCGCCATCTTTAAAATTTATACGTTATTACATGAAATCAAAATGTGTATGTATAATAGATATTTCTTTTAGGCCATTCTGGCGCAAAGAATTCGGCCTTTTCTACTGCTATTTTCCAGCGACTAAAATCAAACGAAAAAAGGCCCCTGCTCGTTGCTGCATAGAGCTTTTCTTGAACGGATAATATCCTAGGATTAAATATGGTTGTCCCATTATCCTAATTGTATCCGGATCTTAAATTTTTCAATGATGTTAAGCCGAAATAACTTAATTATGCTATTTCGGCCACATTGACTAGAATTACATTTGCAATATAAAGGAACATCAATGTTAATAAATATTTTTAAAATATGGCATTGCCACGTTGTATTTTTATGGTAAATAGATAGATAGTAATAGTGTATATATATAGCAATTATATTATAGACATGTTCTGCAAGCTCAAATCACTTTTCAGAATTAAGAATTTATAACAGTTTATGTAATTAATAAATTCGTCTATAAAATGGAAAATTATAACATCCCAATCAGCCAGCTATGACATATGGCATCAAATATGTCGTGTGTAAAATAAATAAGCGTATTGCGCTTGTTTTGTTAATATGACATTTTTCGTATTATTGATGTAACCGTTGAGTGTTCTCATATGTTTACACCCATAGCTCTTTGATGGCTATTGACCTCAACTTATTCATTGGGACGGGTAAAAGTTATTTGTTTGAGCCTCATCCACTGCTATATATCAATGACATTTAATGCCTAAAATAGAATTCTCAAAGCATATGTATAGCTAGTGCAACTACATGAAAATGATATACTGAATTTATACCAACAGAGTTCATGAAATTTATTACAATAATTTCTACTGGATTTAAAGAAGGTAGCTGAAATTCAATTTTCATATGCCACAACTGCAACTATTGAGGAGCCATCTTTAATCACAATATAAATCTCATAGGAATGATGATAAACATCAGAATTTTAATGATTTTGCTACAATAATTGATTGCACAATCAATAAAAATATTCATAATTGTCATTTTATTTTTTTTTTTCTTTCTCAAATTTAAGAAAGACCATTTTATTTCTTAATTTTAACATCTAATACATCACCTAAATGCATCGCAATCATGTGAGCTTTCAAGTGGTTACGTGTTCTATAAACTTTATTACAGGATTCCCATTCACAAACTAATCCCTTCGTAATTATATTGAATTCGTTTAAATTATTATTATTTGCTTTTTGTTTTGCGTTTAACTTCTTTCGAGTTCTTGTCAGATAAGTTTCATTGTTAGTCTCCTCAGCATCTGCCTCGCCACGCAATTTTGCTTTATTGGCTAATAAATCTGCCCAAGCACTTCTTAGCTTATCATCAGATCTTTTATTCTGTTCTTGTAAAATATTTAATTGTCCTTTAGTATATTCTAATAATTCTTCAATTTTTTTGACTCTTTGTTCGTTAAATTCATTCTTAATTTTTAATCCTTCATTTTCATTTTTTACTGTTTTAATTAATCCTTGTAACTGTTGATGTTCTTTTTTTAATTTCTCATAATTTACTATAATAGTTTGATTTGACTAAATAATTTGATAAATAAACAAATTAATTGATGATGACGATGATGATGATTTCTATTTTACTATGTAGGGTCAAAAAATTTGCTTACCGTAGACAATGAGGATGTTGATTTTTCTGAGTGAAAAGATTCTTGTACATTTTTTTCAGCAATAGTTTGTAAGCTAGAATTAATATTTGGAATAGATTGCTGCTTATTTTGAGACAATTGATTTTTTGTTTGAAACTGAATAGATTGCGAACTTTGAGAATCAATTGAAGAGCTTTGTAATGAAGAAGAAGATAATGGTGGTGCTATTGATGAAATATTGGGTTTTGTCAATTTATTAATTTTATGAGATTCATTAGTATAGATAGATTTGTCAATATTATTATCGCTAATAGTAATGTTCTTCATATTATTATTGTTGTTGTTGTTGTTGTTGTTGTTGTTGTTGTTGTTGTTGTTGTTGTTGTTGTTGTTGTTGTTAATACTAGCAGCAATATTAATAACTAGAGAATTGTTTTTATTATCATTTTTATTATATATTATCTGCTGTGGAAGAATCCGCAGTGATTGATGAGAATTGTTCTTATGTAAAATATCGTTTGCATTTGAATATATCCTATTGATGGCTACTTGACTTGAATGATTGTTTCCAACTAATTGATTATTATTAGGTAATTGTGGTGATGTTAATTTTTTGGGATGGCTTTGTTGAGTGTCAGTTTGAGATTTATCAATGTTTACTGCATTGTTATTCTAAATTGAAAATTAGAATGATAAATTGTCATATAAAACTTGAAATAAATTCATTATTTGCTTGATATAAATAATAATCACCTGTTTTGAAGAAGATCCAGTAGCTGTATATGTAAGATTATTTGAATTAATTACAGGATTTTTAATGGTTGCAGCAGTAGAAAAAGAACAAGTACTGGTAAAAGGAGTCAATAAACTGTCATTTGATTTTACTAGTTTATTATTAACTTCCTCTTCCTCATCATCATCTATTATAATTATTTGGTCCTGAAGGGTAAAAAAATTTTTTTAATGAACTGTTACTTGATATAACAATAATTATATTTTATTTATTTATCATTTCGCACCTCTTTAGGTAAAGCAATTTTTGATGACAATGTCAGGTTTTTTTCTGCATATTTTCGTTTCAAAACATTTGTCATACGGATTCTGTCATCATTTTGATGCTAATAATAATTAATATGTTAGTAAATAAATAAATTTATTTATTTATCTGTTTATTCATTTAATGCTATAAGAATTTTACCCATATTTTCTCAGAATTCGTTAAAGGTTCAGTATGTTTAGAAGTGTTCAATGAATTAGAATATATGGTTTGTTGTTGAATTAATCCCTCTTTTGATGCTTGATCAGCTGTTTGTTGTATGGAATTGGATTTCTGTTCAAGCAATCTAAATGATAGATGTGTGTCTCTAAGATGATAGAATAATCCCACCTTATTTTTAAAACCTGCACCTTTACAGGAATTCCAGTGACATTGGTATTCTAGTAAATTTTCATTCAACGAAATTATATGGTCAGTATAACAATGATTTAATAATTTTCCCTGTTCCCTATAAACTAAATTACAGTCTTTCCAACAACATGTGTAATAATATTCCTGTGGCATAATAATTATTGGATTAGAATGATTTTGATTTATTTCTGCATCCATATATCTATATATTTATGTTATGCGATTATATTTTTTTTTCTGCTTTATGCTTTACAATAAATTAATTCTAGAGGTTTTCATACTATAAAAAGAACGTGTAACATTAATCCTAATACTTAATTAATTCAGGTGATCGATACATTTTGATCCGTGTAACATAAATTATGATTGGTTATCAATGACGCGTATCACGTTAGACGTTAGCATATATTTTTTTCTGCAATTTTTGACAATCTTCCCTTCTGTTTCCCTATAATGTTGATGATTGGCTTAAAAATTTTCTGTGATACGGAAAATCTTTCCAATAAAAGAAATACGATTATTTAAATTACAGTTGGGATCTTTCCAAATTTGGAGACATTTATACAGCCCAAAGTATTTGACATAGTGATTGTACTCATATAATTTATTCGAACCATATTCGGATAAATCTTACTCATTTGAAATTCGATTTTTTGTTGAAATTCGTTGAAATTCATTGAAATTCGATTTCCAGCTGCAACATTACACGAATCTTGACTTTTTGCCAGCTACTACAAATGCTTGCACTTCATTGTTGAAGTAATAATTGAAATATGTTAGAAATTACTACATGAAAGATTATTTTAA